TGGCCCTCCAACAGTACAGCGCTCCCTCAGTACTGACCCTCTGACAATGCTGCACTCCCTCAGTACTGATTCTCCAACAGTACAGCACTCCCTCGTTCATGCATTGAAGATGTAAGCCTAAATTTGTATGTTCAAGTCTCTGGATTGGGGCTCAAATGCATGACCTTCCAATTTAAAATGGGAGCACCATCCACTGAGCTACACCTGAAACAAGGTCAAGCTCAAACCTTTAAGATCCATCTCTACTTCCTGACCTATCTGAAACAGCATATCAGATTCCCGATAATTGGAGTAAAAAGAGAACGTACTAGAAATCTCGGATAGTTTGGCAGCATCCGTGGAGAGAGAAGCAGAGTGATGACAGTTCATCGAATTGAAACATTAACTCTTTCGTGAGGAGACAACCTTAATTTTAGGTCAACTCCCCAAACACCTTCTACGGCAGTCACTTCTGTCCCTCCATGTGACACCAGCAACCACCCCCTACCACCTGGTGGAGGATGAGAAGGCGGTCTACACTTACTTACCTATCTGAAAGTCTGCTAATCTCCAGATTTCAGAAGTTCAGACAACTGATGTAGGTCGAATGTTTTCACAGTGTCACTGTTTATCTTATTTTGAACAATGTACCATAAGGTTTACTAATTATTTACTTATGGGTTTACTACTAAACTGATACCAAACCATCCATTCCCATAAACTGCCAGATTCTTTGCTAAATTAGCGCATGCCACCTGCCCTGTTATGCTCCCAGTCCAAGTCTCAATTGAATGGAAAGAGTGACTGACTTAGTTCACTGGTGTTCCCTCCTTCGTCCTCTCAGCTGTACTGTACCCTGTAGATTAAAGGGTTAATAGCCATATATGTAAATAGCCAGCTAACGTCAGTTGTGATGTAAGAGATCACATGACAGCAGACTATGGCAAGAGATAATTCTGCATTCGGTCTCATGCTAAGCTTAGTAGTGCCAATAATTAGCAGAATTTTAAATAAAGATGTTGCCATACCAACAGCCTAGACTCGAGTAAGTTCTCTTGATCCAGTCAAGGAAACAGTCTCTTCTAACACCAACCATCACAAATACAGACACCAGAGCTAAACCTTCACTTTAGTGAAACCATGACCCCAGACCCTAACCCACGGAGGAGGGGAAACCACATGTACCTATTGGCCATAAATGCCCTTCCTGGATGTTAACTCAGTATTCAGAGCTACTCTAGGGCTGAATGCAATGGAATCCAAATACTACTCATCTCGTTCTGGGACAGAAACACTATCCTTGGGCTAGCAATCAATTCTGTCCAGTTGCCAACACTCGCTGTGTGTTAGTCAGTTTACAGATACCTTAATCCAGTCAATGGGAGTGTTTGGAGGCAGGCTTGAACCCTCCCAAGGTGGTTGATGGGTGCATACTGGTAATGTCCCTTAACAAGTAATCTAGAGGCCCAGGTTAATGCTCTGGCGACAAGGGTTCAAATCCCACTGTAGCAGTTGGTGGAATCTAGTTAATAAAATCTGGAACATATACATGTGTGCATGATTATTGGAAAAAGTCTATCAAATTCACTTATGTTCGTTACACCACCTCTACTTGGTCCTGTGTACAAGTGACTCCAGGACTACAACAACAAGGTTGACTCTCAGTTGCTCCATGAAATGGACAAGCATGCCACTTGATTCCAGGGTAATTAGGGATGGGCAAACAAATGCTGGCCCACCTGTGACATTCCATCCCACAAAAGAATACAGAAGCAATGAAACCTCTGAGGATGCACATGAGTTAAAGGCCTACTCTTATTCACTTCCACCTTACAAAACTCTTGGTTCCTGGTCACTACCCAAAGATTCTACAGTTCATAGTAATTGCAGAAATTCCAAGTTAACATGTGTGATGGTCCACAAGGTGCAATAGCAGTCCTGTATTCTGTGGTTAATCTCACAATGGTGATGGGTTATTGGGCCTGGGGGGTAGGACCTCCAAATCTTTATCAGCAACTTCAACACTGGAGGAGAAGAAGTTTGCTTTGCATTGTAATAGCTGAGAATCTGACGTGATGGTTTCTATTCCAGACTAGTCCAGCCGATATTAAAACTGGATACTTGTCAATAATCATGGATCCAGATGAGATCCCGTTGGATGAGCAGTGCGAATACCTGCCCTATGATTCCAGCAAGTGGGAGTTCCCCCGGGATAGGCTTCGGCTTGGTGAGACCCTCTCAGCTCCTGCAGACAAGTTATTCATACGTAATTAACATATCGCTAAATCCTTGATTCCTGCTGTGTGCTTTTAGGCAAAACTCTGGGTCACGGAGCATTTGGAAAAGTTGTGGAAGCCTCTGCTTTCGGAATTGACAAAAGCAGCAGCTGTAAGACCGTGGCTGTGAAAATGTTGAAAGGTAAGGCTGCCCTTCACAAGTGGGGCTGACGTGGAGGTATTTCTGTTGGGGAAGACACTGAAGTGATGGTAATGTCACTGGACGCAAAAGTAGAAATTGCTGGAAAAGCTCAGCAGGTCTGGCAGCGTCTGTGGAGAGAAAACAGAGTTAAAGTTTCAGGTCGAGTGACCCTTAGAACACCGGGTTCTGTGGAAGGGTCACTCGACCCGAAATGTTAACTCTGATTTCTCTCCACAGATGCTGCCAGACCTGCTGAGCTTTTCCAGCAATTTCTGTTTTCGTTTCTGATTTACAGTATCCGCAGTTCTTTTGGTTTTTGTGATGTCTCTGGGCATTGGTAAGTCACAGAACTCAGGCTAAAGCAGACTGTATAACTCAGATGAGCAAGGGTAACATGGAAGATGGATTTGTAGAGTGTACCAGGGATTTTTTAGAGCAGTACGCTGCAGAATCTGTCTGGGAACAGGCTATTTTAGAACTAGGAATGTGTAATGATGCATGATCACTAAGAAATCTCAGTTAATGATCCTCTAGGGTGTAGTGATCACATAATGGTAGAATTTCAAATTTAGTTTGCAGGACAGCAAATCAAATCTCAAGCCAGTGTCCTTAACTTAAAAGGGAGCAATTAAGAGGTATGAATAAAGAGTTGTTTAAAGCGAGATGAGATAAGGGGAAAATCTGTATCAGACATTTAAGCAGATATTTCACAATGCTTAGCAAGAATTTATTCCAGTCAAAATGAGTTGCATCCTCAGAAATTAAAGGAAATAGCTACAGAAATAGTGGATACTTGAAATTTTCCAAGAATACTTAGATTCTTAGTTAAAAAGGGAAGGTGTCAAAAATAGCTAACTGTAGACCAGAGATAGTAGGAACTGTCAATGCTGGAGAATCTGAGATAACAAGGTGTAGAGCTAGATGAACACAGCAGGCCAAGCAGCATCAG